TGCTGCGCTGTGCATGGTGCTGCGCTGTGCATGGTGCTGCGCTGTGCATGGTGCTGCGCTGTGCATGGTGCTGCGCTGTGCATGGTGCTGCGCTGTGCATGGTGCTGCGCTGTGCATGGTGCTGCGCTGTGCATGGTGCTGCGCTGTGCATGGTGCTGCGCTGTGCATGGTGCTGCGCTGTGCATGGTGCTGCGCTGTGCATGGTGCTGCGCTGTGCATGGTGCTGCTGCTGTGCATGGTGCTGCGCTGTGCATGGTGCTGCGCTGTGCATGGTGCTGTGCTGTGCATGGTGCTGCGCTGTGCATGGTGCTGCGCTGTGCATGGTGCTGCGCTGTGCATGGTGCTGTGCTGTGCATGGTGCTGTGCTGTGCATGGTGCTGCGCTGTGCATGGTGCTGTGCTGTGCATGGTGCTGTGCTGTGTATGGTGCTGCGCTGTGCATGGTGCTGTGCTGTGCATGGTGCTGCGCTGTGCATGGTGCTGCGCTGTGCATGGTGCTGCGCTGTGCATGGTGCTGCGCTGTGCATGGTGCTGCGCTGTGCATGGTGCTGTGCTGTGCATGGTGCTGCGCTGTGCATGGTGCTGTGCTGTGCATGGTGCTGCGCTGTGCATGGTGCTCCGCTGTGCATGGTGTTGTGCTGTGCATGGTGCTGCGCTGTGCATGGTGCTGCGCTGTGCATGGTGCTGTGCTGTGCAAGGTGCTGCGCTGTGCATGGTGCTGCGCTGTGCATGGTGCTGCGCTGTGCATGGTGCTGCGCTGTGCATGGTGCTGCGCTGTGCATGGTGCTGCGCTGTGCATGGTGCTGTGCTGTGCATGGTGCTGTGCTGTGCATGGTGCTGTGCTGTGCATGGTGCTGTGCTGTGCATGGTGCTCCGCTGTGCATGGTGCTCCGCTGTGCATGGTGCTGTGCTGTGCATGGTGTTGTGCTGTGCATGGTGCTGCGCTGTGCATGGTGCTGCGCTGTGCATGGTGCTGCGCTGTGCATGGTGCTGTGCTGTGCATGGTGCTGCGCTGTGCATGGTGCTGCGCTGTGCATGGTGCTGCGCTGTGCATGGTGCTGCGCTGTGCATGGTGCTGCGCTGTGCATGGTGCTGCGCTGTGCATGGTGCTGTGCTGTGCATGGTGCTGCGCTGTGCATGGTGCTGTGCTGTGCATGGTGCTGCGCTGTGCATGGTGCTGCGCTGTGCATGGTGCTGCGCTGTGCATGGTGCTGCGCTGTGCATGGTGCTGCGCTGTGCATGGTGCTGCGCTGTGCATGGTGCTGCGCTGTGCATGGTGCTACGCTGTGCATGGTGCTGCGCTGTGCATGGTGCTGCGCTGTGCATGGTGCTGCGCTGTGCATGGTGCTGCGCTGTGCATGGTGCTGCGCTGTGCATGGTGCTGCGCTGTGCATGGTGCTGCGCTGTGCATGGTGCTGTGCTGTGCATGGTGCTGCGCTGTGCATGGTGCTGTGCTGTGCATGGTGCTGCGCTGTGCATGGTGCTGTGCTGTGCATGGTGCTGTGCTGTGCATGGTGCTGTGCTGTGCATGGTGCTGTGCTGTGCATGGTGCTGTGCTGTGCATGGTGCTGTGCTGTGCATGGTGCTGTGCTGTGCATGGTGCTCCGCTGTGCATGGTGCTGTGCTGTGCATGGTGCTGCGCTGTGCATGGTGCTCCGCTGTGCATGGTGCTGCGCTGTGCATGGTGCTGTGCTGTGCATGGTGCTGTGCTGTGCATGGTGCTGCGCTGTGCATGGTGCTGTGCTGTGCATGGTGCTGCGCTGTGCATGGTGCTGCGCTGTGCATGGTGCTGCGCTGTGCATGGTGCTGCGCTGTGCATGGTGCTGCGCTGTGCATGGTGGTGCGCTGTGCATGGTGCTGTGCTGTGCATGGTGCTGCGCTGTGCATGGTGCTGCGCTGTGCATGGTGCTGCGCTGTGCATGGTGCTGCGCTGTGCATGGTGCTGCGCTGTGCATGGTGCTGCGCTGTGCATGGTGCTGCGCTGTGCATGGTGCTGCGCTGTGCATGGTGCTACGCTGTGCATGGTGCTGCGCTGTGCATGGTGCTGCGCTGTGCATGGTGCTGCGCTGTGCATGGTGCTGCGCTGTGCATGGTGCTGCGCTGTGCATGGTGCTGCGCTGTGCATGGTGCTGTGCTGTGCATGGTGCTGCGCTGTGCATGGTGCTGCGCTGTGCATGGTGCTGTGCTGTGCATGGTGCTGCGCTGTGCATGGTGCTGTGCTGTGCATGGTGCTGTGCTGTGCATGGTGCTGTGCTGTGCATGGTGCTGTGCTGTGCATGGTGCTCCGCTGTGCATGGTGCTGTGCTGTGCATGGTGCTGCGCTGTGCATGGTGCTGCGCTGTGCATGGTGCTGCGCTGTGCATGGTGCTGTGCTGTGCATGGTGCTGTGCTGTGCATGGTGCTGCGCTGTGCATGGTGCTGCGCTGTGCATGGTGCTGCGCTGTGCATGGTGCTGCGCTGTGCATGGTGCTGTGCTGTGCATGGTGCTGCGCTGTGCATGGTGCTGTGCTGTGCATGGTGCTGCGCTGTGCATGGTGCTCCGCTGTGCATGGTGTTGTGCTGTGCATGGTGCTGCGCTGTGCATGGTGCTGCGCTGTGCATGGTGCTGTGCTGTGCAAGGTGCTGCGCTGTGCATGGTGCTGCGCTGTGCATGGTGCTGCGCTGTGCATGGTGCTGCGCTGTGCATGGTGCTGCGCTGTGCATGGTGCTGCGCTGTGCATGGTGCTGTGCTGTGCATGGTGCTGTGCTGTGCATGGTGCTGTGCTGTGCATGGTGCTGTGCTGTGCATGGTGCTCCGCTGTGCATGGTGCTCCGCTGTGCATGGTGCTGTGCTGTGCATGGTGTTGTGCTGTGCATGGTGCTGCGCTGTGCATGGTGCTGCGCTGTGCATGGTGCTGCGCTGTGCATGGTGCTGTGCTGTGCATGGTGCTGCGCTGTGCATGGTGCTGCGCTGTGCATGGTGCTGCGCTGTGCATGGTGCTGCGCTGTGCATGGTGCTGCGCTGTGCATGGTGCTGCGCTGTGCATGGTGCTGTGCTGTGCATGGTGCTGCGCTGTGCATGGTGCTGTGCTGTGCATGGTGCTGCGCTGTGCATGGTGCTGCGCTGTGCATGGTGCTGCGCTGTGCATGGTGCTGCGCTGTGCATGGTGCTGCGCTGTGCATGGTGCTGCGCTGTGCATGGTGCTGCATGGTGCTACGCTGTGCATGGTGCTGCGCTGTGCATGGTGCTGCGCTGTGCATGGTGCTGCGCTGTGCATGGTGCTGCGCTGTGCATGGTGCTGCGCTGTGCATGGTGCTGCGCTGTGCATGGTGCTGCGCTGTGCATGGTGCTGTGCTGTGCATGGTGCTGCGCTGTGCATGGTGCTGTGCTGTGCATGGTGCTGCGCTGTGCATGGTGCTGTGCTGTGCATGGTGCTGTGCTGTGCATGGTGCTGTGCTGTGCATGGTGCTGTGCTGTGCATGGTGCTGTGCTGTGCATGGTGCTGTGCTGTGCATGGTGCTGTGCTGTGCATGGTGCTCCGCTGTGCATGGTGCTGTGCTGTGCATGGTGCTGCGCTGTGCATGGTGCTCCGCTGTGCATGGTGCTGCGCTGTGCATGGTGCTGTGCTGTGCATGGTGCTGTGCTGTGCATGGTGCTGCGCTGTGCATGGTGCTGTGCTGTGCATGGTGCTGCGCTGTGCATGGTGCTGCGCTGTGCATGGTGCTGCGCTGTGCATGGTGCTGCGCTGTGCATGGTGCTGCGCTGTGCATGGTGGTGCGCTGTGCATGGTGCTGTGCTGTGCATGGTGCTGCGCTGTGCATGGTGCTGCGCTGTGCATGGTGCTGCGCTGTGCATGGTGCTGCGCTGTGCATGGTGCTGCGCTGTGCATGGTGCTGCGCTGTGCATGGTGCTGCGCTGTGCATGGTGCTGCGCTGTGCATGGTGCTACGCTGTGCATGGTGCTGCGCTGTGCATGGTGCTGCGCTGTGCATGGTGCTGCGCTGTGCATGGTGCTGCGCTGTGCATGGTGCTGCGCTGTGCATGGTGCTGCGCTGTGCATGGTGCTGTGCTGTGCATGGTGCTGCGCTGTGCATGGTGCTGCGCTGTGCATGGTGCTGTGCTGTGCATGGTGCTGCGCTGTGCATGGTGCTGTGCTGTGCATGGTGCTGTGCTGTGCATGGTGCTGTGCTGTGCATGGTGCTGTGCTGTGCATGGTGCTCCGCTGTGCATGGTGCTGTGCTGTGCATGGTGCTGCGCTGTGCATGGTGCTGCGCTGTGCATGGTGCTGCGCTGTGCATGGTGCTGTGCTGTGCATGGTGCTGTGCTGTGCATGGTGCTGCGCTGTGCATGGTGCTGTGCTGTGCATGGTGCTGCGCTGTGCATGGTGCTGCGCTGTGCATGGTGCTGCGCTGTGCATGGTGCTGCGCTGTGCATGGTGCTGCGCTGTGCATGGTGCTGCGCTGTGCATGGTGCTGTGCTGTGCGTGCTGCGCTGTGCATGGTGCTGCGCTGTGCATGGTGCTGCGCTGTGCATGGTGCTGCGCTGTGCATGGTGCTGCGCTGTGCATGGTGCTGCGCTGTGCATGGTGCTGCGCTGTGCATGGTGCTGTGCTGTGCATAGTGCTGCGCTGTGCATGGTGCTGTGCTGTGCGTGGTGCTGTGCTGTGCGTGGTGCTGTGCTGTGCATGGTGCTGTGCTGTGCATGGTGCTGTGCTGTGCATGGTGCTGTGCTGTGCATGGTGCTCCGCTGTGCATGGTGCTGTGCTGTGCATGGTGCTGCGCTGTGCATGGTGCTCCGCTGTGCATGGTGCTGCGCTGTGCATGGTGCTGTGCTGTGCATGGTGCTGTGCTGTGCATGGTGCTGCGCTGTGCATGGTGCTGTGCTGTGCATGGTGCTGCGCTGTGCATGGTGCTGTGCTGTGCATGGTGCTGCGCTGTGCATGGTGCTGCCCTGGAGGTGTGCCCTGCATGTGCTGTGTGTGGTATCTCACACACACTCAGCCAACCCTGCCCTCTAACTCACATGGAGCTGACGGGTCGCTGCAGGTCGCAGTACAGAAGCACACACTCGTAGGCGCGTGCATGGTGCTCCCCCGGGAACTTCACTGAGATGGCGCCATCTGTCCACTGCCCATTGGCTGACTCCCACCTGTGAGGGAGGAGAGAGGGATCGGGAAGGGGATTGTGGAGAGGAGGGAAAGGGGGGGGAGGGAGGAGGAGGAGGAGGAGGAGGAGGAGGAGGAGGAGGAGGAGGAGGAAGAGGAGGAAAGAGGGATGGGAGATCTGGCACATGAGTTACAGAAGGAAGGAGAGATGCGTTTGGACGATCTCACTCCGGAAAGAAACACTTCAGGCCTTCAACCATTCTGAAGCCCACAGATACAAACGGACAAAGCTGCGTGAGGTGCGGTGCGTGAGGTGCGGTGCATGAGGTGCGGTGCATGAGGTGCGGTGTGTGAATTATGTGTATTTGCCTGCCCGCCTCACCAGCAGTGCTGGGCGGTGATGACGTCATGGTGTGTGAGGGGCATGAGGCCCATGGCGACCACGCGAAGGGGAGTGATGCGGTACGCGCTGAACTGGATGAAGCCCTCCTTGCTGCTGCTGCCGTCGAAGCTGGAAAGGGGGAGCAACACAGGCACGCATTGACAGGAATAGGGCAGAGCAGAGTATGGTAGCATGCACATCACAGGTATAGCGCAGAGCAGAGTATGGTAGCATGCACATCACAGGTATAGCGCAGAGCAGAGTATGGTAGCATGCACATCACAGGTATAGCGCAGAGCAGAGTATGGTAGCATGCACATCACAGGTATAGCGCAGAGCAGAGTATGGTAGCATGCACATCACAGGTATAGCGCAGAGCAGAGTATGGTAGCATGCACATCACAGGTATAGCGCAGAGCAGAGTATGGTAGCATGCACATCACAGGTATAGCGCAGAGCAGAGTATGGTAGCATGCACATCACAGGTATAGCACAGAGAGAGACTAAGAGGGGGGTGATGCGGTAGGCGCTGAACTGAGTGAGTCCCTCCCTGCTGCTGCTGCCGTCGAAGCTGCAAAAGGGGGGAGGGAAGTAATGCAGGTGTGCATGCAGAGGTATAGGGAGATATGGGAGTATGCACAGCACAGGGATAGCGCAGAGACTTGGAGAGGGGAGTGATGCCGTAGGCACTGAATTGAATAAACCCCTCCTTGCTGCTGCTGCCGTCGTATCTGGGAGGGGGGAAGGTAGGGAAGAATGCAGTCAAAGGAAGGGGACGTGAGCCACAGGGACAAAACAAGGTGACATTGAGTCGGCTCCACAAGTAGTGATTCGGTTCACTCTGAAACGGGTGAATCCCTCTGTGCTGCTGCTGCTGCTGCTGCTACTGCTGCTGCTGCTGCTGTCGAAGCTGGAAAGGGGGGTGCATGGCCAAGCCGCATGCGCGCACAGAGACAAGGCAGAGACGTGAGAGAGAGAGAGAGAGAGAGAGAGAGAGAGAGAGAGAGAGAGAGAGAGAGTGAGAGAGAGAGAGAGAGAGAGAGAGAGAGAGAGAGAGAGAGAGAGAGAGAGAGGACTTAGCCTCTGTCCCTTGCCTCTGTCCCTTGCCCCTAGGCTATATAAGGGTCCCGTAGGGACCTCTTTCCCTCATTAGTTCATTCAGTTTCCAGATTTTCGTAGGCGCTCGCGCCGGCGGCCTGCGGCCGCCAGCGCTCGCGTTGCGCAGCCTTCGGCTGTGTGCTTTGGGGTGGCAAGGATTCGCCGCAAAGAAAACAATAGTCACACTACACAAGACAGCTATGGGCCACGCGCCGAGCTACTAGATCACAAGATGCAGAGGGTCTACGCGCGGAGGGCGCCGGAAACTACATGAGATGGGCCTCAATCGCCGCGAGGATACCGCGCATGGTCCTCCACAGCTGCTGGACCACTAACGCGGTCGCGCCTACGGCTTCAATCCCGCCACCAGCTTGGAGGTGTGCGGTCAGACCCCGGACCGTTTCGTCCAGTTCTGAAACCGCAACGCCTCCCATCGCGGGCGCTCCCAGCAAGGGTAGGAGGAGGAAGGCAAGTTGCGCAGCCGCCGCCAAGCAATCTCCTCGCGCCTCACGACCGAGAGTGCTCCCTGGGCTCTGGAGAATGGCGAAGTGCGCATTCACCAGAATCAGTGTCAGGGCCTGCTGGCACTCCACCAACCGCCACAGCTGCGCTAGGGTCGCCGTGGGACCTTGAGCCACCCCAGTCCTCATCGCGGCAGGCGGAACGGGAAGAGGGGGCGGAGGCTGCACGGACGGAGCATCCGCAACACGACGCGGCTGAACGAAGGCTCCCCTCGCCCCTCCGCCTCCCGCTCCCACAAATCCCGTGTCCGGAAGAGGGGGAATCCAGGGCAGGGACGGATACTGCGAGGCAGACACAGGACGAACGTAGGCAGGCGGAGCACGGTCACCGCCAAGAGCAGGAGCCCGCGGGTATGCAGATGCGTGCGGAGCAGGTGCAGCAAGGGGCGCGGCCGGGACCTGCGCATTCACAGGAGCAGGCGCGGGCGCAGGAGCGGCGGGAGCCGGGGAGCTACCAAGATTCGGCGCGCCATTCAGGGCGTTGCGCATCGCCGCAGCCAGCATCCCCAAGAAATCCTCTCGGAGCTGCTGCATCTCGCTCGGCCCATCGCGCCCGCGACCGTGACCTCCCCACCAGCCACCGCGGCCTCCGCGGTGCGCCGAACGGTATGACGACGAGGGGCGACGCCGAGGAGAACCTCGCCCCCGATGCGCTACCGCATTGCCCCCCGCGGCAGCGCGTATCTGGGACTCCGCGAGCCGCTGCGCGACGGGATTCACCGGCGCAGCCGAAGGGGCAGCCAAGTGGGCAGAATCGGGGCCGGCGCCCACCGCTGTCCCCGGCGCAGGGCCTCCAGCGACAGCTTGGGCGGGCGGCTGCGCCACGAGCGACGGCTGCGCAACGGGAACCGGCGCGCCGGACACCGGAACTTCGTGCGGAAGGCCTGGCGGGGGAGCCGGCAACAGCGGGACCGGAACCGCGGATGGCGCAACAACAGCAGGGGGAGCCGGGGGGAGCAGGGGAGGAGCAGCTACAGCAACAGCGGGAGCAGGGGCCGGAGGCGGAGCAATCGAACTCTCAGGTGTGACCCTGGTCCACCGCTGACTTCTCCGCTTCAGTCGCCACCACGGCGAACATGTCGACAGCAGGCGATCGAGGACGCAAGGTCGCGCCAGAGCGCGGGTGCAGCGAGTAGAGGGAGTCCACTACTGGCCGCGGCCAATCCGCGGATGCGCGGAGGCCGTGCCGGGGGTCGCGGACGTGGAAGGAGTACGCGAGAGGGCGGACCGGAGAACGCGTTCCAGGCGGCGGCGCGTAGGGCTTTAACTGAGTTGGGAAGAGCTAATGAAGCAGATGCTTTGTCGGGGAGTATTTATGAGGCGGAGGAAGAGGTAGCAGACTCAGGATCGAATGCCTCGGAAGAGGCCCAGTCACAGACCCCTGCACGGCAGAGAGGCAACCCAACCCATGCCCGAAGCGCGACAACAAATTTCAATCACGCTCCAACCCAGCCGCGACCATCCCCACAAATTCGAACCGCTCCCAACAACCCAGACACCACTGCCAACCAGCCCGCCCATCAAATCCCGCCACCAACACCTGCAATTGCTCCGCGAACTGCAGCGAGGGGTAACCAACAGCAGTCACAACCCCTCCCCCAAAAATCGCCAGAGGCCCTCGCCAAGGATGACACACTTTTCGCGAGCGTCAGTGATTGGAATCTAGACAAGCTGCGCGACAGTCGCAACGCACCTCTGGCTCGTCGCCTCCCGGAAAAGCTGCGCCTGCTCTTCGCAATGGTCTTGCTGACACCATTGCTGCGACTTGCCGGCGACCCCGATTCCACCCAAGCCTGGACGGTCTTGCTGTTTGCCGCTCGCCTGACATTACGACAGCAGTCGCCGAAGCACCCTGATTGGAAGGCGACTAGAAGCAGATTGCGTAAATTCCTGCGAGGGGAGTGGGAATCACTTTACCAGGAAACAGTGGATTCGCTGGAGCTGCCCCCACCCCCCAGGCACCAGCCAGATGACCTGGGAGTCATCTCCAGGGCAGAAGGCCTGGCGCGACGTGGCAGCCTGCGAAGGGCTGTCATGGCACTTGAGGCCACTCCAGTCAGCACGCCGACCCCAGAAGTTCTAGAATCCCTTCGCGCCAAACACCCGCGTGCCCAGCATCCTGACGCACCGTGGCCCCAGCCAGAGCCGGACACTTACCTGGCAGTGTCGCCAGAAGTCTTCCAGAAACTACTCGCAAAATGTGAGAACGGAGTAGGCGCAGGCCCCTCGGGCACGACATTCGAGCACTTGCGCGAAGCTGCCCTGATGCACTCTGCAGTCTGTTCACACTTACATGCGCTTGTCAACACGATCCTTCGCGGGAAGCTGCGCTCGGAGGTTGGGGGACTTCTTACTGCATCACGGCTGATAGCCCTAGACAAGCCCGACGGAGGAACCAGGCCAATCGCAATAGGCGAATGCATCCTCCGTCTAGCAGCCAAGGCAGCACTTACCCAGCTAGCAGAGGCGGCCAGAGAATTCTTCTTACCTTTACAGTTTGGTGTAGCCGTGCCGGGAGGAGCCGAAGCAGTGATTCACATAGTTAGAACCTTTACCACGGCAAATCAGGAGGCGCTAGTCTTGCAAGCGGACTTAGCTAACGCTTTCAACAGCGTTGACCGCCTCGCCATAGTGACAGCACTAAAAGGCTCGCAGCTGGAATCGCTACTACCCTTGGTGAACTTCTCTTACGGTCAACCGTCCACGCTGCACCTGGACGCAGCGTACAGCCACGCACCTTTGCTCAGCGAGACTGGAGTCCGCCAAGGGGGCCCCCTCGGCCCCCTCCTTTTTGCCGCTGCCATGCATCCAGCTCTGAAGGCCGTTGCGGAGGCACATCCGGATGTCATCTGCCTGGCCTACGCAGATGACGTGACCTTCTTGGGGGACCCGTCGTCGTGCGCGGCCGCTTTTGATCACTTCACAAGCCTCCTTGCGGAAATCAGGCTGAGGCACAACCCCGCCAAGTGCGGAGCATGGCCAAATGGGTCAACCGCGGACTACTCCCTGCCCGAGGGAGTCCCACTCAGCAGCGACGGGCTGAAAGTGCTGGGCAGTTACATCGGCACCCCAAGGGCTACCTCCGCGTTCGTGCGCTCCAGCTTGGAGGCAATGGGCGCGCCGCTGGGATTGATCGAGCGGATGGAGCCGCAGCTGGCGGGACTGCTGCTGTCTCTGTGCGTCTCGCGCCGTGTATCCTATTTGGCCCGCACGACTCCCCTCCCGTCCCTGCCCGAGGAGGAGTGGTCCGAATGGGGGAGGCGGATGCTGGACACTTTGCTCACAGCGTGTGGCATCATACACCCGCGGGGGACCGAGGAAACTGCACGCACTTGGGCGCAGGCCTCGCTCCCTGTATCGCTCGGTGGCCTTGGGCTGACGGACCCGTCCGTGGAGGGAAGCTACAGCTTCCTCGCCAGCTACACGCAGGCTCATCTCCTCCTTGACTCCCTCGAGGGCGACTGCAGCGGCCCCCTGGAGGTCATCCGCGAGCAGATGCGCGGCCCCTACACTCAGTCATCCCCTTTGACCGAGTGGTTGGCGGAATGCGAGGGGGAGCTTCCACTGCCGGCCCAGGAAGCGTTACAAGCGGAGAGAACAGCCCCAACCGCAGGAAAGCTGCAGCACGGGTTAGCCACGGCTATCCAGGGCCAGCGCTACGCAGTCCAGGTGGAGGAGGTGCGGGGGATGAGCCCGAACCCAAACAATGGTCACACACAATGGCTGTTGTCCTTGTCGGGGTACGGGGCGGGGGATTGGTTAAACGCGGTGCCTCTGCACCGCGCGCTACACCTCGAGGCTCCGCACTACGCCAACGCGCTCCAGTTTCGGCTGGGGCTCCCCTTTGCGGCCCCCGGGGCCTGCAATTGCTCGAAGAAGGTGGAAATCCCCGACAAGCGGCTCCCAAACCACCTTCTCCGATGCGGGACAGGGGGGGGGCGCACAAAAACCCACAACGAACTCAGAGATGAGTGTGCGCGAATGGCGCGCGACGCGGGCTTCATGGTGCACATCGAAACAGCCGCTTTCAGCCCAGTGGAGGAGAAGAAGGCGGACTTGGCCCTCCGCTGCCGCTCAACAGGAGCCGTCTACATCTGTGATGTGACGGTGACGGACCCCATCAGCACCCGTGACGAGAATGCAACTAAGGGGCGGGGGTGGGCGGCACGGGAAGCAGCAGATAAAAAGCACGGCCTCTACAGGGACCGCCCTGAGTGGGTGAAGTTTTTCCCGCTCGCGGTCGAAACTTATGGGTGCCCATGCCCCGAGACAGTGGATTTCTTGAAGCTGCTCGCAGAGACGGCTGCAAGGCGGTTCTTTAACGCCGAACCAACCTCCTACCAAGCTGCCAAGCTCTTACACCATTTTCGGCAGCGGTGGTCGGTGGCTCTTCAAAGGGGGCAGTCTATAGGTATTTGGAGAAATGCAGCATAGCGGCTGCAGTGGAAAACCCACTGCTCGAGGCAGTGGGTGAGGCTCCGTCCCTAGGGGACTGCCTCACGGTCCTTGATCCTGTACTGGACCTAGCTTAGAGGGGGGAGGGGGGGGGGGGGGGGGGTTTGTGTGTTAGGGAAGTAGTAAGAGGCTTTATACACCATGCTCGCAATAGCCACCTCCTTGCATGCCTGTAAGTCCTATGTTTATCAATGAAAGGGCCGTTCGAGAGAGAGAGAGAGAGAGAGAGAGAGAGAGAGAGAGAGAGAGAGAGAGAGAGAGAGAGAGAGAGAGAGAGAGAGAGAGAGAGAGAGCTACATTGCGGTGGCAGCCTGCATGCGTCCAAAATGTCCACCACTAACTTTTATTTCCGCATCCCCAGCGTTTCGAGCCCGGCCGGAATGTGCTTGTGCGCTGCTCCCAGCTGAAGCCTTTTGACTCCACTGAACGGTCGCCAGACACACCACTCACTTCTGCTTCCGCATCTCCAGCATCTCCAGCTCCGCCGGAGTGAGCTTGTGCGCCGCTGCCCGCGGGTGCCTCCTCCCCTCGCCGCCGCTCCCTCCCCGCTCCCTCCCGCGACCCCCGCCGCCTAAGCCGCCGCTGCCGCCTTTCCCGCCACGCGAGAGCAGCGGAACGGAGGGCGCTTCGTCGAGCAGAACGAAGCAGATGAAGATGTTACTCACGACGACGACGAAAAGCACCATCGTCGTCGTCGATATTCGCCGCGGCAGGATCGCGAATGCCATGCCGGGAAAAAAGGCAAATGTGCTGATGAAGCTGCGAGATTGTGCAATGCTGTTCGATCGAGGTGTTTGCAAGACGTGCGTGGCTAATGCTTAAGGGACGAAAACCCTAACATGTTAACAGCAACGACCTTAGCGCTCCTCCAGTGTCCAGAAACTGCTTCTCCTACAAGTCCCCTACCTAATCGCAATACATGCAAGAGCACGACTCGGCTGTTAGTGGTTGCATTTAGATGGCGTTCCCACGGTTTGGACAAGACGTGAGTCTGCCCACGCGGCTCGTAACTCGGTTGGATGGTGTCAATGGTGGGATACTTCCCCACTTTGGACACCACAGTGTTTGTGTGCCCGAATTTCGCAAATTCGGCTACAATCTCACCTCCAATCGCAGAGCAGAACGACGTTTTGTCAACAGTCGCGAGTTCCAGCATTATTTTTCAGGTGTATTTTCTCAAGTAGTTCTGTTTGTTTGAGAGTGGAGTTGACTCTGGTTTCTGCATGGGGAGAGAGTTTCTTTTCATTTTTTGAAACGATTTCGCCCCAAAAGTGGTTCGTTACCCTGCCCTTCGAGGGCACTTTACACCGTGATTTGCGGTGCTATCGTCAGACGTTCAATTGGGTAACCTCTAAGGATCTTACGACCCAGATTGTTGCACAATGGTTGTCCAGAGCTGGAGTCGCAACCATTCAATTTTTACAAACATTGGAAATTTGCGAGCCGCGTCCAAACCGTGGGAACACTCCCTTAGTTCAGACTTGGGTATCTTATGGTGTAACTCTTTATATTCATGATAAAAGCACATTTACTATATATATCATGTGGTAGAGTTTGATTTTAGTAACTCTAGCAAGATTTTTTTCCACCCAAGAATGTTCTCATCCTGTCGGATTTTGGAGATGGGATTTCTCTGCCCGCATGGAACTCTAATCTGCAGAAAAGGTGACTAGTCGGGATTGTATCTTTGAGCATTTTCCATGAAAACTGAGCTAAGTTTTGTCAACATAGCATAATGTCATATCAGAATGTTTTCAAACTATATATGATTTATATTTAGGTTTAGGCTTTAGTGGGGTAGCCAATGTAGGGTACAACCCCTTAGGGTTCTACTGCTGCAGCTGCTCCTCCTTGCTGCAGCTCCTACTACTTGCTGCAGCTGCTCCTCCTTGCTGCAGCTCCTACTATTTGCTGCAGCTGCTCCTCCTTGCTGCTGCTGCTGCTGCTGCTACTTGCTGCAGCTGCTCCTCCTTGCTGCTGCTGCTCCTCTTTGCTGCAGCTGCTCCTTTTTGCTGCTGCTGCTGCTGCTACTTGCTGCAGCTTCTCCTCCTTGCTGCTGCTGCTGCTCCTCATTGCTGCAGCTGCTCCTTCTTGCTGCTGCTGCTCCTACTTGCTGCAGGTGCTCCTTCTTGCTACTGCTGCTCCTACTTGCTGTAGCTGCTCCTTGCTGCAGCTGCTCCTCCTTGCTGCAGCTGCTACTACTTGCTGCAGCTGCTCCTCCTTGCTGCTACTACTGCTACTTTCTGCAGCTGCTCTTCCTTGCTGCTGCTGCTCCTCCTTGCTGCGGCTGCTCCTTCTTGC